GCGGCCAGCCTCAAAAATCTGAGAAATCATCCATTCACCAACCATTTCATCAACATGTGTCCAACAACAGTGAGATGGGATTATCTCAACATCTGGTATCCCAAAAAATCGAGGCTTCATCATCATATTATGATAAAACAAAATACATATTGATTGCCCTTATTCATCATCAAAGTTGAGGCTTCATCATCATCTACATATATCTACCATAAAAAAACACTGTTTTGTTGCCACAGCTGCCGTCTGTTTCCCCATTTTCACTCAGTTGAATCCAGCCATGACCGGGCCATCCAGCATTTCTGGCAGGGTTCAGCCTCGAACAGGTCAAGTCTTTGGGGGCCCAGTGGTCCCAAATACCCTTTGGTAATTTAACATACTTATTGAAAATGGCCGTTGATAGCTGAATTTACCCATTAGACATGTTGATTTTCCATAGCTATGTTAGTTTACCAGAGGGTACCAATATGTATAGTACAGTATATAGTTTGTGCTATGGATTTGCTGTGATAATCTCCATGATGACTTCTTTTCCACCAGATGGCTTGCTGTAGATGTTCCATTCATGTGGTTCAGGGTCAAAGGTTTTAGCTTTTAAACCGTTGGATCCACAAATTATCCTCTTGAAATTTAACAGTTCGCCATGGAACATGTTTCAGTTATGGATGATTTACAGTACATATTAACGTGGTGATTTTCCATAACTTTGCTAAAATACCAGAGGGTACTTGGCAATGTCTGTTGGTTGATATCCAATTCTTTGCCTTTTCCCACCAAAGTTCTAGGTACACTACACAAGCTTGAATCAAGTTGTACACGTAAGTGCATCCCAGTTGGTTTGTGGTTCTTCTATCCATGGGAACCTGGTAAACCCATGCAAAAACGGGATTTGATCACCAATTTTTGTTGCTCAATCACTTTCCACCCTCCAGCGAATCAAGAAATACATATACAGAAAGCGCAAAAAAAAATATAATTAGCCTACAATGTGCCCCTCAGTTATGTTTTACAAACCTAATGAATTAATACTCGAGTTATATGTATCAGAGTATCATTGACCATAGTCATTGGAGTTTGTATTCACCAACCAGTTGCGATTTCGCTATCACGGGGCCCCCACTTTGGCCCAGTCAAAACCCAATGGTTTCCATCTCGATTTCGACGGGAGCAAGGGCCCATGCCATGGATGTTGCGAACGGAATACATCTAACACCTCGCAACGCTACACAGTCGATGGACCACATGGGGACTATGATGGACTATGCTTTATGATACTAATATATGATCTGGCTGGTGGTTGACCTACCCCTCTGAAAAATATGACTTCGTCAGTTGGGATGATGAAATTCCCAATATATGGAAAAATGTTCCAAACCACAGACCAGAAATACATATATATATATCTAATTATATATATACACATAAACCAGGGGGCCCACATTGTGGGATACATGTCCAGGGCTTCATTGAGGGTTCTCTCTTTTGGGCCCTCTTCGCTGTCCTTTTTGTGCAATTTTTGGGCGGAAATGACGGGAAAAGGAACCAACTGTGTTTAATTTTTGATCCTCTGCAATTTTAGTTTCTCTTTAGCTAGCCAATACACTTAACAAAAAAAATATACTTATACCTAGGCTTACCCAGGATATAAATACCATCACCTTCCCATGTAAGGTTTGCCCACGAATGAGTGTACAATATCAGCTACCCATTCTTTTGCAGTTCTGCTCTGCAGAGGCTGAATATTGAAGAAACAAAGGGGATTATTTCCAAATGACAACAACTCACATCTTTGGTTCCTGTTGTCAAAACTGAACTTTTTGACCCCAAATGCAGTAAAGATTTTGCCAAAACATAGCTCTATATCACTACATAATACCATCTGGTCAACCAAGCTAGCTATGCAAGCCATGGCCATACATTTTTCCAGTTCGCTATGTTAGTTTACAAGAGGGTATCGCAGAACATCTGTTCAAGAAACACAAAAAATCCAGAACGCAACACACCAGAAAACCTGTCTGTCAAACAGGATACCAATACCTTTCATGGTTTGATGGTTTGACATCTCATCCTTTTCCGTATAAAATAATGCTAATTGGATGTAGGCGGCATTTCTGGGCAAGCCCACCTTTCCTCCCAAACCATATCCCTGCCATCCACACCTCAAATTCCCTGGCTCTTTGGATCGTTTCTTGCAACGCGCGTTGCCGTTCCTTGCAGCACAAGCTGCAGACTTTGCGCAGTTGAAACGGTTTTTTTTCCTCCCGGTTTCGGGGAGACTTGACATATCTCATCCCTACCTATCGCACCCTGTTCCGGTGGAACACATACTATACGTGCAATGTGTATCAATAAACAATATTCAATATACATATCTTTTGCATAATCACAAAGAATCATATACTTATAGCAGGCTCGAGAGTGCCGGAAACAGAAAGCAAGGTTGGACACCTCGGAAGTATCAGGAAATCAATGTTGAACTATGCATTTGGGCGACCCCTTTAAGATCCACAGAAACATACACGTAAAATTTGCAACCCTAATGTTCCACATACCGTCTAAGAGGGGGCAAAAAGACATATACACTGCAAATTTCATGTCCAATCAATTGACCCATTTCCATCGGAATCTGGGCACAAGGCCCCCCTAGGATCAGCGGAAAGAAGGGTAGCTGTGCCGATTTTACATGGTAGCCGGTTGCCTGGTTTTCTAGCTCACTTAGCGTTGTCGCGGTGAGCTGGTGGGTTGAAAAGACAAGAAAGAAGTGCAGTGCCATCTGAGCCCAGAGGCGAAGGATGGCAGGGACAATTCAGAGAACATCAGATGGAGTTCCCATATTTGATGGGTCACCAGAACTCCTTACCCTTTACCGTGAAGAAGCAGTTCAGTACCTGATGACCTTTGAGTACAAGAAAAGATACCTGGCTGGACCCAGGTTGGTGAAAGAACTTCAGGGAACAGCAAAAACTGCCGTGAGAAACATGACGTTGAGGAATCCTCAATGGGTGTCGCATCCTAGGGGGGTCTTTGTCCTCTTGGAGCACCTGGAAGGGGTAGTGGCAAAACCAAGCTTAGTTGAAGCCTCTCGGTTCATCATGAAGTACTTCTATGGCCTACAGAGAAAGAAGTTTGAAACAATGACTAGCTGGATCACACGGCATTCAGAAGCCTTGTGGGAAGCGTCACAGTCTCTGAGGAAGGTTCAAAAAGAATATGGACCAAGGACCAAAGCAGAAAGCAGTCAAGGGTGGCATGATCATGGCCCTCGGAGTGGGGTTCCTAGCCAGACAGGCTCAGTGTCAGGCGATCCTGGACCCTTTAGAGATGATGGTCGGTTGGACGAGGCTGACGATGACGAGGAGAACTTTGGGAACTATGGCTGGTGGCAAGGGGAACATCAGGATTGGCGAGCTCAGGGACATGGCAACTACGGGTGGTCAGACTGGGGTTACCAATCTTGGCATTCCAAGGAATACGAACCACCAGAAAGCTGGGACACCTCTTCTGAAGTGTTCTTACCAGAGTTCCTAGTGGGGTTCCTCCTCTTACATCGGAGTGGCCTTGACACACATGAACGGGCAAATGTGCTCGCTGCGATCCGGGGCGAATTCTCTCCGCAGACCGTGGCCAAGGCACTTCGAGAGCAGTGGTCCGATGACGACCTCAACAAGCGGGATCGGGCAAAGTTCGGGGCAGCAATGACAGCTGTCGGCGGCGAGGATGAGGAGCTGGAGGCTCTGATGGTGGATGATGATGATCATCTTCAAGATCTCTCTCACGAAGACCAACAGGCCTACATGCTTGAACAATCCCGAGTTGATGAAGCTCTGGCTGCCATCCAGACTCAGAAAACAACTCTCAAAGAAGCACGATGGAAGCAGAAACAACTGAAGCTTGGAAGGGGGTACTTTCCTCCGAAACCATACCAAAGACCAGGACCCAGTGGGGGCTCAACAAAGAAGCCCGTGGGAGAAGGGTGCTTCAAATGCGGAGGACCGCATCTCGCTCGCGACTGCCCAAAGAAGATGGAGAAGGAGGCAAGGGTGAGTGAGGAGGCGGCCGAGATCGCTTTTGGAGTCACTCGCATTCAGGAGGACGACAACCTCTACGGTTCTGTGGTCGAAGAGACAGCCATGGAAGCCGTGGAGGGGGAGCAAGTCCTGAAAACATGCTATGGGATCATTGACAGTGGGGCCACATCCTCATTGGGATCCATTGACGCCTTGGAGGAGGTGATGAAAGCCAATTTGGCTACACATGGAGATTCAAAGATGGAGATAGACCTCAACCAGAAACCCACTTTCAAGTTCGGCAATGGCCAAAAGAAAACATGCCTGTCTACGGTCCACATGGGAATGGAGGCAGGCAGCAAAAGTGGGAGAATGGAAGTTCACGTCCATGACTCGCCCATGCAGCCTGTCTTAGTGTCGAGAAAGGCGCTCAAGGCTCTCGGGGCTGTCATTGACTTTGAGGAGGGTACCATCATCTACAAGCGGATCAACAAGAAAAAGGTGGTCAAGCTCAAGGAGGCAGCCAACGGTCACCTTCTGATGCCTCTGACCGGAAATTTGCTTGTAGGAGCTGAAGATAGATCGCAGCCCTTTGAATCTCTAAGGGAACACTAGGGGTGTCGCTCTTTTGACGCTATGGACGGAGAGGGAAAGAAACTTTCCGGTCAAGAGAGCCTCAAACATGTAGAGACATGCCATGATAGCTTAGGGAAAGAGCTGTCTAGGGGTGATACAACAGACCATTTTGGAAGTTGTACAATATGCGGGTTAGAAGCTGTACAAAGGGCATTTTGCCATTTTTGCCAGGAACATGAGAGTCATGAGAACCATGGTTGTGGTGAGGGTCACAGAAACAACATACATGCTGCGCACACACAGCAGCAATCAACGTGCTCAAACTCTCAGGACACTCAGTACTCTGCCAGGCCTCACTTCAATGCCGGCACCAACGACGCGTGCTCAGTGGGTATCCCTGTTGGCCGAGAAGGGGACCGTGGTGCCCGACTCCTGGAGCGTCATGCAGATGAAAGCCCACTTGGCAGAACTCCAGCAGAAAGACCAACCAATCAGCAATGGAGAAATGGAGGTGCGCATCAAGGCTTTGAAGAAGGCATCGAACCGCCGTGCCGACTTGGTGAACTTCCTGACAAAGGAGGGGATTCCCTACAGTCAACATGCCACCATCGCCCAGCTCTATGCGAAGGGAGAACAAGCCATCACCGAGGACTACGAGCCCCAGGGCAAGGAGCTGATGGGCTTTGGGAAGTTCGGAGGCCTCACCATGGAGGAAGTGATGGATCGTCACCCCAGCTACAGGAAATGGGTGGTGGACACCTACCAGGAGACGGATCAGTTTCACTGGAGGCTGAAAAGGGCAGCCGTGTATGCCATGCAGGCTCAGGCCAAGAAGGACTACCAGGAACCACATCCCCAGAACACCAAGTCCAAGAAGGCAATTCCGCACATCAGTGCGGCCGGCAGCGATGGCAGTTTCGAGAAAGTGTCGGAGGGCAAGCACGAGTTTTCTCCGACTCAGTCTTTCCAGAAGACCAAGCACGTTTCCACGGATGCAGAGACCCAGATTGCAGAGCTCCAGCTGAAGATTCAGCAGCTCGAGAACGAGAAAGCCGAGATGGAACTCCAGGCAGCCCGCAGCAAGAACCGGAAGGAGATGTAGGAGGGCAGCTGAGGGTTTTGTCAAATGAAACTGCAGTGCTGTTTGCCAAAAGGTGGGAAACATGTCGGAATCCCTACAGTGACAATTGGTCCCAACTCTATCGCCATGGACGTCCCATTTTGATGGAGCTTGCTTGTTACCCCAACAGTCTTTTGAGCGAAGAAGTTGAACAAAGATTTGGAAAGGGTTCTAGCATGAGGGTTAGCAATTGGAATGGGGGAGACCTGGAAACACCTGAGGGCAGACAACTTGTAAAGCAGTTGATTCGAAAGCATCGGCCTCTTCATCTCTGGATAAGTTGCGAGTGTGGTCCATATAGTCCTCTTCAACATATAAACAAACGTACACCTGAACAAGTGAAGAACCTTGAAGAGAAACAATATCATGCTCGTTTACAGTATGCTGGAGGGATAGAAGTGGCTGAGTATGCGATGCAATATGGGACTGAAGTCCATTGGGAGCTCAGTGCAAGATGCGAAGCTTGGAAGCTACCTATGGTCAATGACTTTGTGACAAAACATGGGCTGGGGAAAGTGTCGTGCAATGGGTGCTGCGTAGGGTTGAGGACTGTTGATAAGACACAATTACTCTGCAAAGCATGGACTATTGCGACAAAGAACACCCACCTTCTTCGTCACATGAACTTGAAGTGCCAGAACAATCACCCAAAGGGGAAGTGCGAATCGGGGCAAACAGCACACACCGCGCGGTATACAAGTGTCTTCGTTCGTCGCGTCATTGACAGTTTGGTAGAACATGAAGCATGGTCACATGTAGTTCAAGAGTTGTCCAAACCTGATGTGGAGGAAACCTTTGCAGCAGAAGATGCGCAAGAACCGCAAGACGAAGGTGAGGAGATCACCGAGGAGGAGAAAAAGACCATCGAGGCCAAGATTCAGCATATTCATCGCACCACAGGACATGGGAGCATGAGGAGCTTGGTGGAGGCTCTTAAGCGGCAAGGTAGCAACAACAAAGTCATACAAATAGCCAAGTCATGGACATGCCCAACATGTGCAGAACGAAAACGTCAAGATCCACGAAGGTTTTCAACACTACACACAGTAGCTGCCAAATGGGAGGTTGTAGAGATCGATACTGGAGTGTGGATACATCCCGTCACAAAGAAGAAAGTATATTTTATACTATTTGTGGACTCAGGGTGTAGGTTCAAAGTTGGCAAGGTTTTATTTGAAGACTCTCGGAAAACAGCCACATGGAACGATCTCAAAACTGCTTTTGAGGAACTCTGGCTTCCCATCTTTGGCAAACCACGTGGAGTTCGAGTGGACCCGGCAGGAGCATGGCTGAACACACAAGCGGAATCTTATTTTTCACAACATGATATTCTGTTTGACCATATTCCTGCCGAAGCACATTGGCAGATCAGTGCCGTGGAACAAGGGATCAAGACTGTCAAGGGTATCATGGAATCTTTGGCTACTGACTTTGTGGACATGGAAATTCGTGAACTTTTTGCTAGAAGTATTTGGGTTTGCAACAGCCAGGAGATCTATAAGGGATATTCTCCACTACAACATGCGTTAGGTAGAGCACCAGATGAACATCAACGTATGTTTGAATGTGATGATGTCAAACCTATCCTTCCCAGCGTTTTGGCTGACGGAGGTTTTCAAGAAGATGCCACTATGAGATGCAAAGCGGAGAAGGCCTTTGCAGAGGAACAGGCCAAGCGGAGACTGGAGAGAGCTGCACGTATGGGGCATCGAAGGGCTCAAGTTTACGTACCGGGGGATCTTGTTTATTACTGGAGAAAACAACTACAACCTGGAGATCGTACCAGTTTTCAAACCGGGAAGTTTTTAGGTCCCGCTCGGGTGATTGCTACTGAGACAAGAAAGGATGAGGACGGGATCCTACGTCCAGGGTCAGTAGTGTGGGTTCATCGGGGAGGGCGTCTTCTTCGTTGCGCCCCTGAACAACTTCGGAAAGCTTCTCCCCATGAACAACAAATTGAAGAACTTCATGGCCCGGTCGAACTTCCATGGACTATAACCACATTAGCAACTGACCCAAGTAGGAGGACCTATGTGGATATTAGTGGAGAAGTACCTTCTGAAGAAGAATGGGATAGGGCTTTTGATCAAGATCCTGAAAGACAAGAACCCGAACGAGATATTCCTACTGTACGTTTTCGTCGAAAAGCGTCAGCACAACCCGAGTCATACAGAGGGAAATTTCGTCAACCGCCTCCTATTCAAGAAAAGAAACGAAGTGAACAAGATATGGAATCAGGAGGTGCCAGCAGTAGCAGTAGGCCCAACAAAGAACCCCGTTCTGATGGTCATGACTCCGCCCTGTTTGTGACCGAGGAATCAAGAAAAGCATATGAGATTGACCTTCAACTTCCTAGCAGCAAGCGAGGAATCAAGAAGTTCACGCAGAACCCCGAGGCTTACATGGTCAACCAACTGAAAAGAAGGCAGGTAGAGGTGAGGGAGAAAACATTGACAAAGGATGAAGCACTACAATTTCATGCAGCAAAACAAACTGAAGTTCGCAACTTTTTGGCTTCTCAATGTTTCAAATCCCTTGGTGACCATATTCCAGAGGAATCCAAAGTTTTGGGAATGCGCTGGCTTCTGACATGGAAGTATGATCCAAAGTATGAAGATGGAAAGAAGGCGAAGGCCAGGGCAGTCGTTTTAGGCTATCAAGATCCCGAATATGCAACACGACAAACCTCGGCACCAACACCATCGAAAGCAGGTCGACAATTATTTTTACAATATTGTGCGTATCGCAAGTTTCGGTTAGCCAAGGGTGATGTCAGCGGTGCGTTTTTGCAAGGAATGGACATGCGAGAAGAACTCTGGTGTCGGCCACTACCCGAGATGTGCGAGCAACTTGGGATTGAGGAAGGCACTCCGATGCTTTTGACAAAGGCTGCATATGGTTTAGTACAGGCTCCACTGTACTGGTATGAATCCGTATGTCACACTCTCTCACAGTTGGGGTATCACCGTTTACAAACTGAACCTTGTTGTTGGATTTACCAAGATGATTCTGGCGTGGTTAGATCTATGATTCATGCTCATGTTGATGATTTTGTATTTGCGGGGTCACGAGATTGCCAAGTACATCAGCGTCTTATGGAACAACTCAAACAAGTGTACAATTGGGGTACTTGGGAATATGACTCTTTTGAACAATGTGGAATATTAATTCGGCAAGATGATCGAGGAAATATTTTTCTATCACAACGGAGGTTCATTGAGGAACTAGAAGAAATACCTCTCAACCGTGATCGCTCACGGCAACAGGAACTTCCAACCACGGACAAGGAGAAGAGTGCTCTACGAGGACTTTTGGGAAGTCTCTCGTGGCTATGTGGGCAAACATGTTTCATGTACTCAGTGGATGTCAATTTTCTTATTACATGTATTCCAGTGAGCACCGTGGGCGAGATTGTGAAAGCAAATGCACTGGTGAGGAATGTGAAAAAGTGGCATTTACAAGAATTTCAAATTCACAGTTTTCATCCCGAAGATGAATTACACATGGTATGCTGGACAGACGCTGCGTGGGCCAATAGGCCAAACGGAAAAGACAGCACAGAGGGAATTTTTATTGGAATGACCAGTCAAAACCTGCTGCAAGGTCATGAGACCAATGTGTCCCCGATTTTTTGGAGATCAGCGAAAACGGAACGGACATGCAGATCCCCAGCATGTGCTGAAACTATGGCTGCACTAGATGGTGAGGATGATTTATTGTACCTCAGAGTGCTTTGGTGGGAAATCAGCGGAGGGCATGTCAACACACGCTATCCAAATGAAGCTGCTCGTCAAACACCTGGTATTATTGTGACTGATGCTCGAAATTTATATGACAAACTACACCGAGCTACAGTATGTATCAAGGGAGCTGAAAAACGGAGTGATATTGAGGCCATAAGTCTACGAGAAAATGCTGAAGATAGTGGCGTTCAATTCAACTGGGTACATGGGGGAGCAATGATAGCAAATTCTCTTACCAAAACCACAGAAAAAGCTCAAGCTCTTTTATACATACAAATGGGATTTCGCTACAAGATCGTGCAAGATGACCAGGGAAGATCCGAGAAAGTCAGGAGAAAAGAAGGTCTGACACCTATGGAGGACACCTGTATCGATCTCGATCGACAGCGCACACAAAACACACACACAGCCATTTCAAAGTGACTTGGTACATAAGTTCCTGGCAAAGCAGATTCGATTCCAATGCTGTACGTGTTTCAAACTTTGGGACCCGTGCAAATTTCATGTCCAATCAATTGACCCATTTCCATCGGAATCTGGGCACAAGGCCCCCCTAGGATCAGCGGAAAGAAGGGTAGCTGTGCCGATTTTACATACACTATATACACCCCGTAGTCTCAAATATGTCTATGTAAATCCCTGTGCTAAAACCATCAACAAACATTGTGGTTGCTAGCAGCGCACCTGCCGTTCGTAAGCATCCAGGTAGAGTCGCTCATGAACCTGCCCACAGCCATTTGTTTTGGCTCTTGAAACGCTTTGGGGTGAGAAAAATGACGGGAAGATACACCTCATTTTGCTATGTGGAATATGAAACGCCCAACATGACTCAGTATCTTTGATTATTGGCTTGGTCTGGTTGGGAACATGTTTCATGCATTTCTGGAGCCATGGCCATGCCTGAAAAGTCCTAAACAACATGAGGATCATCCCCGTTCAGGGGAATAGGTCTATCTGAGAATCTATCTATATATATATATTTACTTATAAGCACGATGACTTGTGGCTTAAACCTGGCCAATTGCGGTGAAAAACCACGAAGGCACCTTGCTCAAGTGGAAATCGGTGCTCTTCCAAGGAAAATCTGGGACCTCGATCCCAGACAAGCTGCACAGGTGGCAGAACATGTGAATATAGCGATTGGTCTTGTCATGTATGATCACACTTTATCATGCTATCATATAAAATCATATCAAATCATGAAATATATAAATATGATATTACAATTATGTATATATAATTAAATATATTATGATGATCATACTATTTTAAAGTTAGTAAACTTGTTTCAGAACATCCCGGAGCTGTGGCTGTTTGGGCTGGTTTTGCTTTGGGTCGTGGGAATGGAGGTGACCCAATGTGAAGCAGTTTGGGATCCGTAAAGAACATGAACATTATTCTGGGCAAATTATAATCTGGTTGGTGGTTTTAACCATCTTGAAAAATATGAGTTCGTCAATGGGAAGGATGACATCCCATATATGAAATAGAAAATAAGTTTGAAACCACCAGCCAGATAATAATTCACAAACCTGACTTAAGGCCTTTCACCTTCAGAAAGAAACCATCACCCTACCTGAAGAATGCCATTTGGGGATGATTCCCCTAAAATAAACCATGATTCCAGTGAGGGAGAACAGTAAGGTTCTTGTAATTCGCCCAGATTATTGGACATTGAAAATAGTTGCTGGAAAAAATCCCAAACAATCCCAAAAGTGGCTTAGTTCATCCAAGTTAGAACCTACGGCCCTAAGTTGGGGTGAACTAACGCATTTACGTTTCATGGGTGAACCAACAAGTATGGGCTAACTGGGCTAAGCCAGTGACATGGCTGGGGCTGATTCCCCATGTATGACGTGAGGTCGTTATCTGGTTGGTGGTTGACCTACTGTACCCCTCTGAAAAATATGAAAGTCACTTGGGATAATTATATATATTATGGAAAAATAAAAATGTTCCAAACCAACCAGTTGTAATTCATCCAGATTATCATCCGCTTTTCCACCCTTTTTTCTTCCCATTCCAGCCTACAATTGTTGCTTCAATCCCCATTTAGAGAATGGTCCACTTGGTTAACCATCTAAAACCTCCAAAGATGATCGTTGCGATGATAAAATTGTAGTAAACCATCATCAAATAACGAAATAACACCATCATTAATTATCATATACTTTCAGAAATAAACCATTTATACCATCTATAAGACCATGGATGATATCTGGACAATCCCCACAACATGGCGCTGGCTGCCGGACGCGCGGGAAGGCGATTTCACCTCATGACGATGAGTGGCGACCCTGGTGCCCAAACGGTACCCGAAGTCAAACCTGGCATAGCTGGATGGTTATTCCGAGTTATTCCTCAAAAAATGCAAAGATGTCAGTGGTTTTGACTGATGAAATCTTCTGAAATCATGTTGATGCATAAATTATGCAGTATGCGATGTTGAACTAGACAAAATTCTGTACATTGTTTCTCACCTTCGTGGAAACGTGGAAACGCGAAAACCTTTCGCCAAAGCGACTTTCGCGCAGCGAATTGTTTTAGCCTTCGCCAAATGTACCCCATAATCACTTTTGACAAAATCTCTACATACCATTTTATCTATCTATATTAGTCAGTTTATGTTCATTCCTTCTTCTTCCTTGCCTGTCAGATCGGCAACAAGTCCAAAAGATCCTTTCGCTAAATCACCCTGGCTATCTATCTCAGAGTTGGAAGGCTAAGGACTACAATTTACGCACCACAAACAACATGGAATGCACATCAGGATATAGCAAAGTCCGGAAATGAAACTTCTGGACTGAGTGATGTCTCCAACCTTCCAGACTCCAGAGACCTGGGAGAATATACCGCCATTTGGCGCGGCGATCCCAATGATTTGAAAAAAAAGCGTCCTGGTGAAGATCAAAAGAACATAGATTAGACGACCATTCTCCTAAACATGGTAGTACAGATGTCATATACTGATATATATATATGATTATAATATATGTATAATCATGTATATATTATTCATTCTCCTAGACATGCTAGTTTTACTACAGATCTTGATCATCCTTTTCTTCAGATCAGTTGGTAGAATGATATGTATATATATATAATGATCAATATCTATACTTCAATATCTCCTGTATAGACATGGATCTGGGTAAATTAGAATGTTTCACACACCTGAATGAAGGCCTTTCACCTTAAGAAAGAAACCATTACCCTACCTGAATTAAGGCCATTTGGGGATGACTCCCCAAATCCTACTTATGATTCCCGGCTTCGGTCACGTTGAGTGAGGTCACACATTAATCTACCCAGATCTATGGACTTTTGGAAACACGATGATTAAGCATGGGCTTCAAGGGCTTTCCCCTCCATTTTCACCTTGTGATGCGCAATTTTCCCATGCCACCAGTCGCCTCCTCCAGTCTGCCGCGCTGCAAGGCCTCGCAACTGATCTTGCAGTTCCAGCAAGACCTTGGCGAAGGCATAGTTACCTCGACGCTAGGCTTACGAACCATATCTAGGTGGGTCGTAACTACAGCAACTGTAAATCATTGGCTTATACCCATGCTTACTAAATGTTCTGAACGACTTAGTGGGAGGGATGAGCCTCCAAGTAGACACTGCCGCACTTGCACCTTTTTTGAACGCTTGAGGTCAGCTCCTCGCGCAGGCCAGGGTGGAAAAAAGTGCAGCGCTTCGATTCAACGGGATTGAAGCAACAATTATTTCTAGGGAGCTATTCGTAATATATCAGGATATTTATACATGTGCGTAAGTAAAATATGACTATATATCTGTTTGTAGTAAGTATAATTCACTTATATATATATATTATAATTATGTGTGTTTAATCATACAATGTGTATATGGATGTGTTCGAAATAGGGGATTCACCCCACACAAGTGGCCCCGCCAGTTATGGTTGTTGGTTTATGGTGGCTTAGAATATTGCAATATATAACCCATCTAACGTCCTAGGCAACCTTGATTAATCTACAAGTTCAGTTCACCAACTTAGCCAACAAACTGAGGCTCTACAGTGCAGCATCTTGGAGGGGATCATCATCCTTTGTTGAAACCCTGGAAATCTTGGAGGAAACATCAACCAATTTACCATTCTGGAAACACTTAACTGGGCATCTTCTTGGGTGCCTGAAAAATATAAAACATATTTGAAGCGGCCAGCAGATATGGCCTGTCTATCTTCTAAAGCTGGTGATAGCAACATGTTTGTTGGGATGTTTGAAACAACCAACGACTCAGTATGTTTTTCCACCATCCTGCAGCTCTGTACAGTTCCACATTGGAGACATCACTGTCTGCCTATTATCTCTCTGGACATTGGTCTTTTTGGCATTCCTCGGTTTACCACCAACGGTGCCACACACTTCGCAAAGTTCAGAAAACTCCCATTTAGAAAAAACGCCAAAATCGATTCAGACAAGTCGGACATTTGGACAACTACAGATTTGTTGTCAATCTGACATCTTGATTTGACATCTTGGAACATGATGAACGCCACTTCGCTTTCTTTGAGAAGCTGTACCACTCAGCCAGCCATCGCCAGATCACTGCCTCACTGCAGAGCTGAGGTCGCCTCAGAGCTCCCAGTGGCGAAGTACTACCAGCAGAGATTTCCCAAAATGGAAGACTGGTTGGTGGTATACCTACCCCTTTGAAAAATATGACAGCTCGTCAGTTGGGATGATTGTTCCCAATATATGGAAAAATAAGATTCATGTTCCAAACCACCAACCAGAAGACTCTTTAAATTCATTCTCTTTCCTGGGAGACCAATGGTTTTTGGGGTGCCCCAATTTTGAGAAACGACCGTCTAAATACTGTTTACACACTTTTACATGCACCATGAAGGCAGAAACTGATCACCGCACTTTCCACTGGGCCGCCCTCGCATACAAAGCAATGACCTGCTGGGAGCGCTGCAAGTCACTATCAAATTGGCCCTACAACCAAGAAGACGCAAGGGTATATGGGTACTGTAACCTGCGAACTCCTTAAACAAAACATTAAAACACATCAGTTTACACTGGGCAGTTTGTAGCAAATTTAAATTTTGGGCTGTTGGGGTTAAAAAACAACTCAAATACGAGATGGATGGAGAATGCGAAACATCTGATTGCCCATGAGCGGATTTTTTGCCTGGTACCAACTGTTGAACGACAAAAAGTACCCAAATTCTGATTGTGTCATCCAGTTTTGTGAGCAAAAACAAAAAGGTTCCAAAGGACGTTGCAAAATGTCGCATTCCTATATTGGGTCCATGTGCAATCCCAAAGCATGGGTTTTCCTTTCCTTTCTGTTCATGTCTGATATTCCCGAAAGATTTCAATTTTTTTCGAACATGGATCTCGTATAGGGCTGGTTCAAGCGCTGAACAATTTCAATACAGTAATGACAACATGAATTATTCAAGGGACATGGGGCTAATTTTCCCAATCGTTGGATGGACATGTGTGGCCTCTAAACAGAAACGTGCCCCTTGTACTACGTTTCCTATATAAAGATTTACATTTTGTATTATTTATCATATATGATGCTTAATTTAAACGTGGATTCAGCCTAAAGTATCTATTATGCCATCGAAAACAGAAAGTGCAAGGTGCCCAACTGGGCACTGCAGGGGTCGTCAAAACAGCCTATAAATGTGCAATGGTCGAAATTTGGCATTTATATATATATATATATTCCACATATGTTCCGGTCCCATATATGTTCCGGTGTGTGGGAAATGCTTTCAATGGGTACAAATTAGTTTCTGTTTCTAAATTAACTGATCCATAAACATCCCCGAATTACTTACTAGTAAAAAAAGAACTACAAGGCGGTGCCCCCAGAGTGATGTTAGTTGGTATATAATCCCCATGAATACTATAGATATAACCCCCCAATCAACCCTAGTTATTGGACTTATACAAATGATTTGGAGGTAGCACCCACATATACATCGATATCATGTCGGAACGGGATTCCCATCCTCACTGGTGTTTAGCAGCGCTGGGGCTATCCAACCATTCAATATTCCATTATAGTTCCATCATATTGAACCCCGAGCAGTATCCAATTTATATCCATAATGGATATTATAGTTCCATATAGTTCCATAATATGATGGTTCCATTATAGTATCCAACTGGTTTATTTCCCTGCTAATAAACCTGTTTTGTTGGTGAAAGCACCCTTTTGGGGATACTATGGAGATATATTAGGAATTATTAGGAGATATCTTTGATAGTAAAATCCGCAGAACACATTTATGTCTAGTATAGACTATATCACATGTATAGTGAATACTATCAACACCATAAGATCCCAATATTTACACTTCACTCCCTATAGAACCATCTTTTTTACCATATGTTGACAGTTAAAACACCAGGGCATTTTTCCCACTGCAATTGAAGGCCTTACAGGCATTTAGGAGCAACTATAAAGGCATGCAATTCGCGACAGCAGCTGACAGGTGGGATTAACAGGGACAAGAAGGATGCCTAAAGCTACCTGATGTCGCAACCCAAAGGGAGAGCCTAGCGTCTTGAAGTATATACTATGGAATTCCCGGCAATGCCCCACAGATCAAAACTCTGGAGTAGTGATGACATTGATGTATTAATCCTCCATCAAACCCCATGTCTTGACTGACCCGGGGGGAAACAAAACCCAATCTTGACACATGAAGTCGATTAAAGCAATGGACCACGGGGTGAAAGCAGTAAAATTGGCGATGTTCCACTACACCAGTACGATTCGCGCAAAAACCGGTGAATGGCTTCAGCACATTGCGGAGAGCCAACAGCTTTAGGCACAGATGACTTTGAGATATCTACGCCTTGGACAACTGCGGGTTCGATGTGTCATCCATTGATGGAATTTTCTTCCCGTTCAACGCCATGGACCGCAAAAAAAAGTAGGAAACAAGCGCTTCGGCTCTCGACGAGTCGCGACGCTTGTATCCCATAGAACCCCATATTTTTCAATATTGTTCCATGTTTTTTCCACATATATATATATATATAGATATAGATAGATAGATAGATAGCTCGCTCTCTCTCTCTCTCTCCATAATAATATATATATTTCAATAATATATATATATTATCCATATACTGATAATTAAACCCCACGCTCCATTCAAAGCGGAGACTTCGACGCCACGCCTGGTCCGTGATCTCCTCCTCGAGCTCCAAGCCCTTGGCTTCCTCCAGTGGAACATGTTGCATCTTCTGTATGTGTAGATACTATCTGTTCAAATGATGTATATCACAACTATCACAACCATAATCTATTTACAGTATATATATATATATGAATTTAGTTTAATGTATATAAATAAATACGATTATATATAGATATATGCACTAAGATGGCAAGCCAAGATGATATTTTCATATATATATATATATTAATGATATGATATGATATGATATGATCGTTTTGGGGTTGCAATAAGTTGGATTCGCTTCAGAGGGCCAAACGCCTTCAAACATATTCCCAGCATATCCCCAACGGTGGCTCAACCAATGGAAAGGACCTCACTGAGGACGTGTACCCAACATGTTTCAGTTTGTGAATGGTCGAATCATTCAAATCTTTGAATAGGATCATTTTTTTCAAATCAACATTGGATGACGATGAGCATGACCGTCTGGTAATTCAACAATTTGCTGTTGAACATGGTCCATTTAGTTCGATAGGCTATTTTCCCTTTTAAAGGCCCATTTAGAAAGGATTTCACGGCCAGCCATGTTTGAGCACCTTATTCAAAATTGTGACTTTCCATAGCAAACTGTTACTGCCACTTGCGGTTTAGGCCCTCTGTCAAACATGGGGAAATCCTCGAACGACTCGATGAAGGGCTGACAATCCCCCAGTTGGTTCTATGATTTTTTCAGCTCTCCATTTAGTTCCATAACTGGTTGGTGGTTGACCTACCCCTATGAAAAAAAAATAGTCAGTTGGGATCATTATTCCCAATATATGGAAACATAATCCAAATGTTCCAAACCACCAACCAGCATAATTTTCCAGCCATGTCTCGTGACACCGGAGGGTACGTTCTGTTTGGCCCCGTTTTCCGTGTTCAAATCCCCAGTGTGTCCGGTCCATTTCGCCATAGAAGCGGCCCACTTCCCGCAAGTTTCTCGACTCAAACTGGGCGTTTGGGGTCATTCCATAGACATCATCCTGGTCATCGTGGGGGGTCATTTCTCCCTCACAATCAATGATATATATATATATGAACAATCATTGATAATATAACACGATTATAGATATAATATGATAATATAGATATAAATCATTATAAACGTTTATGGTCAGTAATATGATATATACACGATTATACACGTTTATATAACAATCATGAACCACGAAAAACCCATCTTTGGTGGATCGTTTTGAATGTCAAGGTCTTGGGGTTTACACCTTGACCAAGAAAAGCATCTGAATTCCTCCTTTCAACTCTTCCCACAGACTCGATGTGTTGGAGGCCACGAGGTTAACATCACAAGTTGGGGATACCGGAGATGGCCCAGTATCTTTCCGTGTTCATCCCCAAAATGAGGCCTGAATGGATCAGGTTGCAGTTTTGTAGCCTGGACTCCCGTCCCATCCAATTGATGGCCTGGTTGAACCAGACGTAAAATAGGCACCAGTCGACTTGTGTCCAAATCCCCAAATCTAGCTGAATCCCAAGACTTCACCTGAACCAGGATCATTATTAGGACGTTGCGACACGAGGTCGTTATGCTTCAGATTCTACTCATTTCCATCCCCAATTTACAGAACTCAACGGACCATGGCCATGGCTGTGAGGAATTCCTGGTGACCCAAATGTGGCATCTGGTGGCTGTGGTCCCAACACACAGTTTCAGGAAGGACACATAGGTCTCCTGCCAAAAAACATCAAAAAGCTGGAGGGTCACCGAAAATTCCGAAAAATTGAAGCTCCCGCTCCACCTTCGACGTTTTGGGGTGACAACTTTTCGTGCTTTTTTTGGAGTCGAACTTGACACCTTCTCAGAGGCTTTTTTGTTGGAGCACTAGGGTTAAGATAGTCAATGCTTCTATGGGAATCAACCATGACAAAATATTGGACAAAGATCAGACATTAAGATAAACAATGATGCTTTAGTGGGATGATAACACAAGAGATAGGATTTGACCCAGTAAACACCACATGGCACGAACATGATAGATAAAATGTCGGAATGTGCCAAATGGCAGTCAAACATGGGCCGTGTGGGACATGCTTCTTCCATGAGAAAATCATCAACAGACATCAACAAACCATAAATATGCGTTCTTGATCTTTGCGGTTGTTTCTTTAGAACAGCATGGTTTGAGTGGTACCTGTGACCAGGAGTTACCCATTGGCGCTTCATCCACCAAACTTCCTGACCTGGAACTCTTCTTCGTTGGTGGTTGACCTACCCCTCTGAAAAATATGACAGCTCGTCAGTTGGGACTATTATACTATTCCCAGTAAATGGAAAGTCATAAACGTCATGTTCCAGTCACCACCAACCAGCCAACTGTTCGGGATGAAATTAGATGACCTCTTGAGAACTGGAAGCGGTTAACCACACCAGACGCCTTGGTCACTTCCACCTCAGCCAGCTTCTCCCTTAATGCCTCTGGGCTGGCAATTTGCTGGTGAAAAAACGAAGGGATGGGAACTTGTGAATGCCACGCAAGTTGGGCCCCCTTGATAGCGAAATCGCGATCGATTGTGAGTTTATAATATTTTATAACCCCATTGTCCCATTTCACTATGGTTTATGATACTTATAGACTACAGTTTCCAACAAACATAACTAAGGGGCCCACATTGTACTTAGAAAGTTAAAGATATGAAAAATACACGTGGCGCCCTCCAGTCATAAGTTGGCTTATGTTACCCCTTCTAATTATAGTTGTAACTTATAATATGTTATGACTACCACAACCCCAATTGTGCTACAAAGGGGGACCCCCAGATAGCCAAGCCTAAGCTGGTTTATATATAATTCCAATTTCACTATGGTTTATGATACTTAAAGTACTCATGAGGTTTATAAACCAACTTAGCTATCGTTTGGGGGCCCGCATTGTAGTGAACTAAAAACCAACATATTCCAACATAATTCTACAAGGAATAGAACGCATCAAAAAGGGTTACGGAACCCATCAAAACAAATGATGTCTTTTCAGTCTTTCCCATGAAAATGGGTAGTTGCTTATATATCCCATCAAATCTCCCTTACATCCCCATTAACATTCCGTTACTTAAGCTTATAAATTAAGTAATCATCATTTTCAGATAGTTTCCCGATTTTTTTGATGAGGTTCCCAATTGAAATGGCCATTTGGAGGTATACCTCCATTGTTGGACAAACACATGGCGAAACAATGGCAGCCGTTCCGTCCCATTTGTTGCCACGAAATCTGGTCAAGTTTTTCGTGGTCCGTGCTTTTCTTGGCTCCCTGATCACACAGCTTACACAGCTTATTGAGCATATCCTCACTACCATGGCAACATGAAGCACCTACAAGAAATTATCGTTCAAGTGGGACGTTACATCTGTCCATTGGAAACACCAGGGCAACAGAAACCTTGTTACTGTTGCCCTGGTGTTCTCACCCTACAAGTACTTGAGAAGATCATTAGTTTTGACCCATGCAAAACAAAAGACATAACAATATAATATAATATATCCATTGACCAGTTGTTTGCAAAATAGCAAACCAAGGCCAAACAAATAGAAAAGTCAAGTCAAGTCCTGGCAAGGTTGTGATAACTTACTTCTTGTCTTATCTATTTGGGGGTTGCTACATTGCTATTCATCAGTCTATTCTATTTCTTCATCTGCACTTAGGCAGCAAAAGGACGATGCAACTCAATGAGTAGAAAGTAGCGGCTAGGAAGTAGCACGCTGGCTGAAGACATAAGTAGCAACCCAGATCGTCGAGATGGTGCCGGTGAACTTGGCGATTCTGTCCCTTAATTTCATTGCAGCAACGAAGTCAAGATTGTGCCAGCTCACTCCGGCTCCCATGCACTCGAACTGCTTCCAGCTGTTCACATCCTTGCATGAGACGCCCACCACTTGTCCGAAGGACCTCAACAAATGCCCTGGCTTTCGTATAAACGGCTTAGTACGCCATGCAATAGGACTGTAGCAGGCTCATGGCCTTACGTTTAGAACGAAAAACATACTCTCACTATAGTCGATGTCAACCTCGGATTAAAACCATCTACAATATATACTTTGTGATTCAGGTAATCTTCGCTTGACATTATGCGCATGACTTATCTACCCAGCTCTTGCAAAGCGAGAAGACTTTCCGATTCGAAACATTGGAATTTCCTCGAGATTCCCCCTATACAAATCTCACCAATCTTACCCTACTCAAAATTCATTGGAGCCATGACACATCCCCACAATAACCTATCAACTCTGATATCTTTAATGGCTGGGCTGCAACCAGACCAAACATATCACCCAGTCACCCAGCCTTAATCAATTGGGAGACATCCAAGTCCAAGGTCGATGGCGGCAGCAAGGCCTGCCCAAGGTATTGGGACGCGATGTGGTGTTCATTGGTCTCGTTATATAAGTGGTGTTTGTGGGTTTCTATATATGTAAATATATTTACATATATATACATACACACATATATATATATATGTATTCTATAATCTCATCTAATGAACTAGCTATCATTACCGTAAACTCTCTTTCATCCAGTTCTCAACCAACTTATCTAAATATCAAAACCATAGAAATAAAACCTACCTTGCAAGGAGTGGAGTGAACATCTGGGACATGATATAGGGAACGAGGGTAGTCGTTCCAATTCCTGCAGGCCTAGTTTCAATAGGCGGTGGCTGGATTTCAAACGCTCCCAAAGTCTTGTTGCCTGGAATCTGCTTATACTCCCTACCTCAAATGGATTGGGACATCTTTAGAGGTCAACACCTCCTTTTCTTGGGTCAAAGAATGTCAAACATTCAACTACTCACCTTTTATCATGACAATCCCTACTCTTGCAGCAAACTTTACCAACCGCCCACCAGCTGCGAGGGAAAAAAACAACCGTCACAGCGCGTCAAGCGACCTTCAGCAACCGCTGCGCTGCGGCATTCTGCCGGGCATCCATTTTGGGGTCACGCGGTACATCGACCTGGCACAGAATCGGTGGCGCTGCATCAACATCTGAACATGGATGTAACACATTAAAAACATATGTATATCATTGTATATCATATGTTATCTGCTTTTAAATACTGTAATTCTCAATCACATGAGACTTTGTATTGCTACAATATCGCTATATTTGAAATACTGAAACTGCTATAACATTAAATAGTCGTTGTCTTACTATCATATTGACATATGCTTCAAATCCTGCAGTTGCTGTTGCAATGTTAGACTTTGTTGGCATACCAAGCTGTAAAATGTGTTCTTCATTGCCACAGTTGCCAACAACTCCAGGTCATCCAAATATATCCAAACCGGATGTTATCATAGTTGAATTTTGGGGAACCAGCAAAGGTTTCACTTATCGTGTTGTTGGCAAACTCTTGGTAGCTTTCTCATGCTTTCTCCTAACAAGTGGATAGTCACAACAACTTCTCTTCAATGAGGGGAAAACAGGCACACGCCTGAGTTCAGTTGCTTGGCTCACTGGTGCCTGTTTTCAGTGGTTGACATGGTTCCGACTTGTGAATTCAAACCTTGCCCATTTCAGATATCAGAGATTGTGTCAAATTGCGGATCTATTCAATCACTGTAACCAATATGAATCATTCTCAAACCACGTTAAATGGTTTAAATTGTCAAGCTTGTCAAGTACAGGATAAGTCGCCCTACCGTGAATCATGTGAATTAGTATAGAGACGGAGGATCCACCCTTTGTCCATATCTATGTTACCTTCTGCTAATTCAACCCGGCAATGGACAAACACCAACTTCTAGATGGCGGTCATGGACAAGGTGGGGCCCTCCAGTCATAAGTGGATTTATGTTGCACAATCGAAGTGTACCGATAACTACCAAGTAACTACCACACACCACAGTTCTTCCAGGATTTCCTACACCAACTTACCTATCTAAGGGGCCTCACATGGTACCCTCTGGTTTTTTAACATAGCCATGGAAAATCCACCCATTTTTAAGAACGGTAAACCATCTATTTCTATGGGCCATCTATACCATGGCTATGTTAAATAACCAAATGGCAATCAATCTACCCAGAAGGATTCCGCCAGAATTTCGGATCATTGCCTGATGGTTTTTCCGTCGCGGTGCTGGAGGATGAGTGACTGCCACGCAGTGTCTGTGATTTCGGGACAAATTTTTCGGACAAGGAATATCCATGGCATACACCCCAGTCATATGCATATATATATAATTATGTATATATATAGATATTATGTATATATATATATAATTAGGTATATATATATATATTATGTATATACATATAGATATTATGTGAATGTGCACATGAGTTCACTACTTAACGAACTAATGAAGAGATCGAACATAACAAAGAGATCAATCCAATCATTTTTATGGGATATTCCATGCGCCAAGTGATGCTTCAATAAAGAAACATCATCAGCGAAGACCACTGCCTCACTTACTGATTAAAAGAGATGGGGCTATCGCAAGACCAATCATCTGAAACCCACCATTTATGGATGATTTTTCCAAAGCCCCATTGATAGGGGGACTTTCTAGTGCCACCTTTGATTACCCGAGGCTAACGGGGAATATAACGGGATATCACAGGGATAAAATCACTAACCACATCATCCGGGTGCATCCGGGATCCAGCTACCTTCGAGAAGGAAGGGGGTTGAGTACCTTCCTATTGGACATTTCTAAGAATCCATGGCGGATAACATGCCTTTGTCAAATTATTTTGGGATTATATATATATATTTATATGCATCCAATCTATGGCAAGTGGCAAGTTGAATGCGGAAAAACAATTCTGGTTGGATTAGGATAAACTAACATAAATGTGGACAATCAACCATGTGTTTATGATTGACCCAGCGAACCAGAGGTTTTCCACATCTATATACGTTCTTTTACCCTAGGGTGTGTATCCCAATTTTGGCCCATTCTTCCCATTCATTATAACTCCCCATCTAGGCGGGCCTAGAAACGGTCAATATTTCCTTTTAGCTTCACATGATCCATCTGAAATTGACCAAATGATACTTTCGTTGATATTCCGTTTCCCCCAATCGTCATCATCTTGGGTAATTCGTCCATCCCACTTCAATTTCAAAATTATTGTTTAGCGAATTCACATTCTTGTATGGTATCAAAACTAGACACATCATATCATACAATACTTATCTGGTTAAAGCATCTACCTCCAGTTCCAGCTCTTACCCTCCACCCAACCACAAACTCTCCATCCAAATGGGCTGCAACTGGGGCTGACAACCAAGCTGCTAGTTGACTATGCTGGCTGGTTAAACATCTACAAAGTATACTGAAAAATGAAGATCTTGTTCCGATTTACCCTCTGGCACTTGAAGATAGCTATGACAAACCAACACCTTTAATAGGTGAATTGAAAATCGTCATTAATTAATTTGTTTCCGAGTATATTAATGTACCCCGTGGTCATTAAACATAACATAACATTACCATGAAGAACCCAAAACACCATCCGAGCATTGCCCAAAAAACAGCTATTTCTACCTGGCAGGAAGACCCGTTGTTGTCGCTCCTCACAGCCGATTGGGAAAGAGGGACCGAGATGTGTACATATCATCTCTTTGTGTATCTAACTATATGATCACGATATCACTGTATAATAACGGTAAAAATGAAAAAACAACAACAACACCGGTAGAACTGTGTAAATAAATAAATAAATAAATGAATAAATAAATAAACATATACATATACATACGCATGTACATAATATGATGTTTCATGTTTGTCCCATTGTCTTGACAATTCAGTCGTCGCATGGTGTTGCGTCTTTTTGCACTCCCAAATTGTGAAACATGCCAAGCTTCGGACCCATCTCAGCGATTCACCCGGGGGGACATTTCTTTCTCGCATCTGGAGGGTCGCTATATAACAAAGATACCGCAGCACTCAGGGGTTTTTTCCGATTGTCCAAACACTTCAGGTGCCTTTCAATGTTAAATGGGTGGCCCTCTCAAAATTGGGTCAACCAATGGTTCTACGTCAATCACGAAATAGACTGTTTGTTCAAGTTGTCTGTCAAACAGCAGCATCTAGAAAAGCAGAATCTTCCAACTCATACACCCAATGGACCCATACCCAAGATCAAACAAAGTCCTACTGATTTGCTGACTGGTTTGTAGTTCAAATGCACCAAAATCACCATCAGATCGCCCAGCCAACAGCTAGCAGATCTTATCAGCCTATGTACATGGCAGAGATCCTTTTCCCTGCCATAGTTCCTGAGCCGCGAGTTGGACCATGGCTTGGACCGATGTCCCATGAAATCTTCAAATGTCATCATCCAAACGCACACACACACACCAAAAGATAACGTGCCATGTGCGGATGACTTTTTACTTCAACACAAGGCTTTCCACATGCCACATGATCAAAGGGCATCGGCATGGTAAGGCATGAAAGAAGACAATCATAGAGCCCGGGTAGTCCCCAAAATGGATCAAAATGGTAATCTTCACAGAGAAAATCATCTTATTCACCATGATAAACCACAATAAACCATCAACATTTGGGGTTTTTGGTAATCCCCAAAAAGATAGAGACTCTGAGACACTGTTTGCAGGACGGGATACATGGTAATTATATGTAATCATATTGTATTTTCAGGTGCCCGACTTTTCGGCATCTTTTTTGGGGTTGCTATACCCCGTCCAAGCTCTTTGGTGTGGCAGGTGTTGTCACGGTCACGTTCGAGGCGCGTGTCTTTGGTGTCCATGTCAACGACTTCGAAAATTGGCTTTGGGATTTGGAACGATAGACTAGACTTGCAAATCAGATATCAAGAAATGCAAACTAGCATGAACTAGATAAGATCAATTAAGCAGCCGCCAGCTGGTGGTCACTTCAATATTCAGTATGATTCACCGGACCCTCAAAAGCCCAAAGCACAACCATGCCCATCTCGGACCCAATGACCAAGCTGCTCGAGTCAAACATCTCAAACCAATAGTCGTGTCCCTTCGTCACCTCAAAGACTTGTGGGTGTTGTGTCCGGGGTGTCATTGGAATCATCCCATTGCTAGGGCTACCCATTTCATAAACCTCAAACGTGGGGATATACTATATTGCTAACTATATATATAGAACTAATAGATGAGATACACTATATTTCTACAACACATTTCTACACGATATATTTCTGGTGGAGAAAGATCCCAAGACCCTGGGACGTCGCTTACGCTTGGCTTGACATTGGATTATCCCCAAACCCGCAGCACAAGGATCACCCAGCATCGTGGCTTGGGAAGGGATACCCAGCATATCCTAGCGAGAAGTGTTTCCATCCATCTAAAAGTGATCAAAAATGACTTATTATGAGAAAAAATGATGATCATCATCCCATTTAAGTTGGATGGATCATGATATACATTCTGGATGAATTACCATAAGTCACTGACCTGCAAACAGCTAAAATAAGATGAAAGAAGGCCATTTGGAGATGATTCCCCTGGCTAACGGCATTCCAGTGACGGAAAACAGTGAGGTCATTATAATTAATCCAGATACATCGGCCATCCATCTCACTTTTCCTCATGGATGTCGACCCAATGCTATCCAACGTGACGCGAACCATTTCAGTCAACACACCCTAAAGATCCCTAAAGAACAGGTGATTGTCCATCTCGAATCCACCATTTTGGCGTAGCCATACTCAGTCCATATCACCTTAGATAATCTTAGCCCTTCCAAACAACATGCAAATGTGCACAAAAATGCCGCTCAATACCCTCCGGCCAAAAGACTGGAACCAGGGGCATGGCAGTTCAATCCAGAGACATCAAACAGGGCCTTGCTGAGACGGTGAAGTTCACCGTAAGAGGCTGATTTAAGGTGTAGGTTGCGAAACCACTTTGCTGCGATATTTAAGGTCATGCCACTTTGCCTAAACAAGAAACATATATATATAATAAATATATATAATTATATATATATAATAATTAAATAAATGTATCATGTGTATATATATACATACAATAATAAGTATGTGGATATATATATATATACATACATATGATGAATGAGTGTATATATATATATAATTCTGGTCAACTGCGGTACTGAACCATACATTATGGAGTCATCTGTTGCAATATGTTGACGCTTCTTGTTGAGACGTATTGAAACCAGAAAAGGCAATCATTCTTTCACACCTTCGTTTGATATTCTGGAAGTCATCCTGTATCAATTCTGAGCACTTCATCTCACATCCTGGTTTATCACGTTTCGTCCATTACAAACATTGGATGTGACAAGCAACACTCACAGAATTCGTTGGGGAAACTATTTTCCAAACCAAAAAATCTTCGGTAGTTCGCCAAACCGCGCGGCCTCCGGCTGGGGTGCCACCGTCAAGCTTTGATAGCGCAAGTCAATCGCCCCGTCTTCGCCTGCCGCGAAAATCAAAGGATCACAAACTGAAAAATTGGCCCTGAGGATTTTACCAAAAAAAACGTGTCAATTTGGATTCAATTAAAAAACTACAAAGTGGCCCCCCCAGATGACTAACTACGTCCCTATATTTTGTAAACGCTATGTGCAGCTGCATCCCATGTACCTTGGATCTCCCAGAAATTTGAACGGTCGCCATGGCTGCATCCCAGCGGCTGATGGAAGCCACGGGCAAGTTGCTGTAGAAATCCGAGTAGTAGTCAGAAATCCTCAGCGAAAGAGGTCGGTGAATAACAGTTGGTGTAGCCACCGAAGCCGGTTTCTTGAAAACATGGTATATATATAATAAATATATCTATATGCAAATAAATATAATAAATAAATAACCAAATAAATAAATAAATAGATAAATAAATAAATAAATATATATATATACATATTTGATTATATTTGTATATAAACATGTACGTAAATGTATATATGTATATGTATATATATATATTATTATTAATAGGAATAATAATGATAATAATAACAATAATAATAATAATAACGATACTAATAATCATAATAATTGTAACAATAATAATTATTATTATGTATACTATTATACATGCACATTGACAACACATGTGAGAAAGCAAGAGTTTCGTTCCATGACACATCCTAGTCAACTTACCACTCATGGGTGCCAAATCCGATTTTGATGTTGGCTCCCACTTATTCAACACCTAGGTTTCAAACATGGGGGGAAATCCCTGAACCAAATGGAGAGCAATCCATGTTTGAGTGCCGGATGGTCAATTTGGGAATGGCTCAAAATCATCAACCGCCCGAACGAGAACAAAAACTATGTGGGTCCACTGGTTACCAATGCTTGAACATGCTTGAACCATACAAATTTGCCACAGTGGTTTGTCCAAAAATGAGCTATCCTAAAAATGCACGAGTTACACCGAAATATTGCTGGTAATATAGTACTGTATCCCGTTCAGATCTCCACCATGGGTGATTTTAGACGACAATTATCCCAATTGCTGGTGGTGATATTCACATTATATATATCTTTCTTTATCTTTTTTTCCTCTCTGTCTCTCTCTGCATATATATATATAAATATATATATATCTATTAACTTCCTGTAAGCTTTTTGGTCAAACTCCTACAGAATCGTCATGTTCCCTAATATTTCCCATTCGTCCCCCACCATAAAAAATCGCCGAGGTGCCGTTGAACTCGCTGAATGGCCCAGGGAACGGTGTTGGACCAACGGTGACAGAGCCTGATCAGAGATGGGGATTTTCATATGTCCAGACATATTTCTTGAAAAACTGGTGAAATCTTTCTAAGAACAACTAGATGATGTTTTCGTTTTGGCGATTAAAAGTTAGAACAGTTGGAAACACCATGGAAGAAAAACATCCTGGTGAACCCGACTTTTAGGCATCTTTTTGGGGATCCTTAGGGTTTTTCATCACACTGGAGATTCCACAAATGGCAAGGCGGCAAACTAACATGGTTTCCCCAAGAAAAATGAGGATCTAATCGAAAGGGGCATCTATAAGGATCCATGCAACAAAGCAGCACCCTCAGTGAAGGGAGTTGAAATAAGATGTTATGAATTGTTCATCCATCAGGTATGAAAGGGCTTTGAAAGCACAGTTCATACCATCAGTTATGATTGGCATCCATCAAAAATCAGGGCGTTGATACCATGGAACATATCCTTCGGCTTTCTGAGCCAATGTACACATTGGAAATTTTCATCCTGAAGAATTGGACTGGGATCGGACAGTAGTGGATTTCATTTGTGGAATATGTTTAGACACAGCCGCAAACATGGGATATAGATAAATAAATAAATACATAAATAAATAAATATATATATATAGGACATCTATAACAATGCATACTCTTTAATATGGTATATATATAGATATAATCTGGAGATGGTGGGGATGGGTCAAAATCTATTGTCACAAAATGTTTGAGAGAACAAACCTTCAGAAGTCAACTATTTCAGGGTACCTATTGGGTACCTAGGGTTTTGACTCATAGCCATAGAGGGTGCCCATATCTTTGTGGCGAAGCTGCAGGTCAGCGATTGCGGGGGCGATTTGAGTT